TATATACGCTCTAATAGGAAGTAATTATCTAAATGGGCTTAATTATAAAATAAAAACCATTCATTCCATGGATTCGATTCTTAGACCCTGTGACTCTTCATGACAGAATGCCATGCAAATCTAAATAGACGATCCTTGTTTAGTTTTTAATGATATGTCTCAAGCCATTAACACAATTGACGTTTCCACGCTTCGCAATGAATACATACCATATCAGGGTGCTCTGCTTCAGCTTCGGGATCATAATATGTAGATTTCGACATCATGGATGCTACTCAAACATGAACCCCTTGTACTGATTATGACACAAACAAAACATATACGAAGACACAAAAGTCCCGTAAACAATTAACTTTCTGTGAACCATCAGTGCTATTATTATACACGGGTTAAGGAGAGGTTGGAATTGTAAATCATATCGTTGTGTTTCTCTTTGCATACAGATGAGAAGAACAAAGCCTGGAGACTGACTGGCACTACTCTCATCATATGTGCATTATTCATTACTATTGTGATGTAATGCATACCAAGGGACTGTTACTTCAATGTATGAAATTACAGAAATAATCAATTTGGCAAACTAATAATTATAATTGTTATTGTATATAAAGAAAAATAGAATTTATTTATGTTATTTCTATAAAATTTCAATTATGTTCGATTAGATTCTTCGCCAGTTCGTTAATATGATATTGACATTTACTTTTATGACTTGCTTTGTTAAGGAATAATAATAATGTAGTATCCGGGTTAATTAAGGCAATATGCAAACACATCATAATACAACTGTTTCAAAGGTGTTACTTATATGAAGGACCAATGTACTGTCTTTGACAGAGATCGCAATTTGAAAGTTAAAGTGTTACAATGTCTCCTCGCATAACAATACATTTTCTGATTAACATTACCAGTGACACATATAATGCGTACACGTGTATGGAATAATGCCAGTATTGTATATTTATCAGGATTGTTCTATGACAGTTGCGATGTTTGTCTATGGCGGTACTTGTAACTGATGAATACATCTAAATAAATGCGTATGTCTGTGTTTTATCATTCTCGCTTATCGGTATAATTAATTCGATCCGTTTGAAATAAAGCGCTTAATAGGCTTGTATTACAATTATTGTGTGTGTGTGTTTTTTTATTTTAGCTACACTGTGTGAAGCATGAAATGAAACTACAGGACATTTTTTTTACTTACTTACAATCAATTAAATTAATACAAAAATAGAATTGAAAAGCAAAGTAAGTTACATCAACAATTAAACATTTACACACATATAACAAAACACCAAGTATGAAAGTCGTAATAAAACATTCAGGAACTTGGTCGCTAAATAACTAGTCAGCGGGCCCCACTTCAAAATAAAAATTTGTTCGCGTAAGATTTCTTTCTCAACGTTCATTTTCATCTTTACATTTCTGATAAAAAATTTTAAAGGAGTTAAATTTGTATAGCGACTCGTATATAACACGTACTAGTATTTTCCTATTGAAATGAGGTAATTTGAACAGGACATTATAACAGTAGATGTGAAAACGTCTTGGGGCGAAATTTCTAATTTGGCTGAGAAATGAAATTCGTTCTGTGTGTGCGTGTCTGCTGACAGTGGTAATTCGCGTTGCCATAGTGATGAGCTCCAATATCGTACGTGTTCATATGTTGATAATTTGTTAGTATCTATACAACCTGATAAGGGTCAACATTGCCACCAAGCAAAATGTGATCACGGTAGACTGCTGAATCAATGTTTACTTGAAGTCAACGTATTGGACCATGAGAAAGTATACCGGAGTTAACTGAAGGCCATTAGGTAACATTTTGACAGAATGAAACATTTTACGGAAACTACTACTGTACAATTAGTTTCATACCGTATCACCAAAACATTAATAACATTACTGCATCAATTTTGATAGATTTACTGTTTTGTTTTGTTTCAAAAATATTTACCATTAATACATATTTATCAAGGCAATTGATTGAAAAACGATACTTATATACTCACTATTGACTATAGTTGATTATTTGTTTCATATTTTTGGGCATTGATATCATATAAAGAGTTCTTGGTAGGTCAGGACTTTTGAATCCTGAAAACCATTATTGCGCATTAAAATGCTTCACACAATTGCTTCTCATATATCCAAGCAATGTTACTAACAACACATCTGACGATTTGTGTAAAATTGACAAAATGAAACAAATAATGTATTGATAGATTCTGATTGCAACACATATCACATAGGATAACATCCTGATACAATCGGTTCTCCACTTTGCTAGACTTTTTATACAGTGTGTGAAAATATGCCATGTATGGATGGACAAATCAGTGCAAAGTTCCTTTAGTGTTCATTGAAATGTTGCGATTAATTACAGCAATTGTCGACTTTGGCAAAATAGGTGGCTGTTATAATTTCAACTAAAACAGTTTTCATGTGATTGGTCAATTGTAGCCTTTACCAGGTCGTGTGGTGTATATATAATGAAATTTAGTAACTTAAATGTCAAGTTTGCGTGCAAATTGGCAAAACTAAAGTCTGCATACATAACTGGTACAATTTTGAGGAAAGCTTACAAAGTGGCAAGCAAATTTGTTACTTAATAATTACGTGGAAAATCTGTGAAGTTGTGTACAAAGTTGGTAAATTTCGTGAAAAGTCTGAATTGTTATCTGACAGGTTTGCAAAGATATGTGTAGCGTTGGCAAAGTTACATGAAAAGCCTGAAAACTTGCGTTGAATGTTCGTATTGCTAGGTGAAATGTGTGTAAAATTTGGTGCCAAGTTTCGTGAAAAGTTAGTAACGTGTTAGCCACCACAGGTGTTTAGGTACAAAGACGCATTTAGGTAAAAAGACGCATGTTGCGAGCAAAGTTGACAAACTTACGTGGATAGTCTGCATTTCTACGTGGCGAGTTTTAAATATTACGTGAAAAGTGCATTGCTACATAGCAAGTTTGCAAATGTAAGAGTGCAAAGTTGGTAAATTACAAAAAGCAAACAAAGTTGCGCGCAACGTTTAAATAGTGTGGACACTCTTCATTGCTACGTGTCAAGTCTAAAAACTTGCGCACAAAATTGATAAACTGAAATTAGTTGAAAAGCCAGAAACGTTTGAGCTACGTTGGTAACAGAAAGTACACGGAAAACCAGCAAATTTGCGAACAACTTTGGTAAAGCCTGGCATGCAAAGTTGTCAAGGTGGAATGTCTTTATTTCTACGTCGGAAGTCTACATCGTTGCGTACAAAGTCGAGTTGCTAAAATTACGTGGGAAGTTGGTATACGAGGAAGCCAACAAAATTGCACGCAAAGTAACATAACAAAGTTTGAAATAATTACGTGTATTGCTACATGACAAGTTTGCAATGTTATGTGCGCAGATGGTAAAGTTACGTGGAAAGACTGAAAACTTGGGTGTAATGTCATAGAAAATCTGCATAATTGCGCGCAAAGTTTATAAAGGTGCGTGAAAAGCCGACAGAAGCAAAAACTGCAAAGTTGGCAAAGTTACTTAGTAAACTGCAGTTGCGTGCAAAATTAACATGGAATTTCCCTATTGGTACGTATCAAGCTTGCAATATTAGGTGCAACGTTGGAACTGTAAAGTTGATAAAGTCTTAGCAATGATTTACAAAGTTGTTAATGCTACATTGCAGTGTTGGTAAATTAAATAGATTGCCACAAAGTTGCGTGCAAAGTTAGAAAGTTACGACGACGACGTGATCGTTGTTTATTGTGTTCCCCTCTCAATTAGGAACATTTACCTACCTCAGGTTTCGCTGCTGTATAGAGTACAGTGCATGCCAACAGAATAGTCACAATGACCAGCCATCCCGTCTTTGACGTAGCGTCCATAGTCAAACACTCATGGGTCTAACTGAGGAAACCAAATCGAAAGCGCACAGTGTGTGGGAGGAGTAATTGTGCAGGGGTCAAGAGAAGTGACAAGTACGCTACCATCTGGTCAGTAGCGGTTTCAAGATATTACATAAATCTGGTTGAACCACATAAAGTGAATTGTTTTTGTTTCCTCAATTTCCAGTATTTTTTTTTGTTCATGTGCCAAGTGCTGTTGATTGTTTATTCGGTTTATTGGTGATGATATATATTCGCAAAATACTTATTGGAACGTCCCTAGTCATGCAGGGATTGTTTCTCGAACAAAAGCCAGTCTCAGTGTTTATGATCTTAAAGGCCGATAGATCATAGCATCAAAGTGGGAGAAATGAATAGTCTGATCCATACCAATTAATTTGATCTGCGTTCTACGTTCTTAATCGAACTAAATAATGCCTCATTGTTATATACACCACCAATCTACGAATTGACGATTTTTTTTCATAAATGGAAGACAAGCCATGGTGTTACTGACCTAAATTCCTAAATTCTGAAAGTTGTAGGTATTTTAAGTCATAAAGTCGGTTTTGTCAACAGACAATTAAAGAGTTTGTTTGTGGTAAATTATGTTTACGTTGCTTAATTAAAGCAGCCAGTGTACTAGTATAAGTAGCTAACGCCATGGGACATCCGGGAGTTGTTTTGGGCCACGCCCTCGTAACCTTCCTCCGTCTCGCGGTGTTTCCCACTCTGATATACTGGTACGTTAACAGGAAATGTGAAATGGAGTTTTTTTTTCAGGAAAAGTGGTGATAAGGAATCTCCATATAGCACTAAACCTTAACAGTATCGAGACAGTGTGATGAGATTATCGCGCGAATAACACGTGACAATGTTTCCGCGTCTGACGTGTTCTAGTATGATGTAATATATACGTACGAATATAATTCATAGAAACCACTAAATATCATCGATTTGATTCTCAAAATAAATTTGCTAATCGTTATCTAGAATATCAACAAATTGCATATAATTGTGTATGTATTTATAAAATTATAATAACCTTTATATTCGTCACAAAATATGCGCACGCTACTACTGTAGTAGCCAACGGGGTTATACAACAAACTCAGATCTGCATCTGCTACTGTTCGACACACACGATTGCAAAAAGATAACTTTTTCTGAAAGGCAATGGTATCTACGATCATCAACGCTAGGTGTTGGTGCCATGTGATTGTGTTTTTGACATTGGTAGCCGTGTACGTATGTGGTTTTGGGACGGGGGCACCCCAAAATGCGTGTGGTTCCATGATACCGCAACACGGGGAACAAAGCGGTACATTAGAGATGCAAAGTATGGACACCTCTCCATACTCACTTAATGTTTCACGGGCCGAGTTTGAACCAGGCGAAGAAATATACGGTAAATATAATTTAAGATACAAGATGCGTATCTGTATTTATATCAAGCAAAGAAGATACAAATATAAAAATTAAATATTTGAAACTGAGACATGTCATTTGACTCGCCCCAGGCATTTGGGTGTGGCAGTCTGTACGAGTTTCCGCTTACTGTACGCTGTCATAGCGGGGATATAATAGTGGTTATTTCCAACTAAGTAGATACAATTTCTGTATACAACTTGTATATTGAGATTGAATTTATGGTTTATACGTCGAATATTTTATTTACTCTTTTGAAAGAAACAAGTATCAAATATGAGATCATGCGTTGAATCACGTGACATCAATGTAGTAACAACAATGAATGACGACTCCACTAAGACCCGCTTTTCCTTGGACGAATGGAAACATATTGATGCGGTTTATACGGTCGCATGAATGTAAACATTTGAACGTCCTTTTTAATAATTAGTAACTTGGTAAAAAATTGAATCTGTGTCACAAAATGGCGGAAAAGCGGCCGAGATGGTCGTCACTTTGTGCAAAACCAACAACAACAAAACGACAAGTGTGACCGTGTTCACGTCGTTTGCGGGTTAAACTGATCTGATGGAAAGTTTGCTGTGACCGTTGATTCCTGTCAACAATACCAAGCCATCATGTCACAATAGATAGGAGTAATTTCAATGTTTATTCAGGCCTAGTATTGCCGCCATTCGACACTATAACCATGAAATGATAATATTTGCTTGCAGTGGAAGTTACCGGCGACATTTTCCGTGGAATATTAGTTCAGGCACATGAACCTCAGAGTGACACACCCGTCGGAACATTCGGTCCACCACCAGATGGCGCGCAGCATCTTGCGTGTTCAAGCGAACGCGATAGTCTTACTCATACAAACTCGAATTTAAAAACCAGAATAACATTTACATGGATTGCGCCACAGGCAGGCAGTATTCCTGGAGGTGCAGTAGAATTTGTGTAAGTAGTAGTTTACTTTCATATACCATGGAAGGTACTAACGTTAGTTAGTTAGTATATGCATATACTGAGAAGATATAGACGGGGGGTGCTGCATTCTCGTAAATATTGAGAAATTATGTCAGAAAACTGACCTCCACATGTGTTAGAGTTGAAACCTTAAAACACTGACGTGACTTCTACGAACAATAATTGATTTTGTGTACGTATTTGAAGACAAAATTATTTAAAAGAACAAAATATGATTGTCCTCGAGAGTTGTCAACACATTATTCCAAATAGCCCCGAAGGTATTACATATTATGAAGTGATGCGAAGTAAGCCAAGCCATCATTACCCACACAGAATACATAATTGAACCTGTTACAATTTGAACATAACCAAAATTAGCGGCCTTGCAGTACTCCAGGATTCAGTGCATGATTAATATAAATAATGAAGGGTAGTAATAACAAAGCTTTTTTTAGTAGATGTTAATCAAAGTATATTTCTTGATAGGGCAACCATTGTTCAAAGTGTGGACGTGTTTTGGACCGATGTGTTATCTCAGCAGATATACCTAGCTGATAGCGGCCACGATTATACCACTGATCCGGAGGGAGGTACCAGTGACAGCGGGGATTTGGAAGGTAACACTTTCATTAGAAATGGCATGGCATATAAAAACGTAGATAATTGAAGTAAATGTATTCATTGATTAATGCTTTGTCAAAACAATGATTGGTATCTACACTGAGAATAACTGAATTTCTGAAACTCACCTGTGGTCTTTTCAAAACAATACATTAAAAGTTTTACCCAGTTGTACGCAAAATGGCCGGCATTTGGAAACAAATCGCTACGGTGGGTAGCTGCACCAAACCATTTTCTGAATTAAACACATTGATGAAATCTATAAACCATCAACATATTTTTGAACGTTTAGTTGAACCATTTGCATACTAGTATGCAATGATTTTGTTGATTCATATACTGTATTTTACGTAGATGAACCATGGACACGTTTAACATATTCTCAGAATACAATTGAGATCGTTACTGAAATGGAAAGGGGTATGTCGTGAATGTTATGTAATATCATTTTGGCTTAGTCGATTAATTCATCGGATACTAACTATTAGTCTACACCATTGCAATATTTTTTGACTTTTCTTTTGATGAGACGGAAACAATGTTTATATAGGTTAATGCGAAAACACATTTTTCATATAATTTTCTTATAACTTTGTTCAAATTTGACGTCATATAGGTGAAGATGACGTCACAATATCTGACAATGGTGTAATCACTGATGGTAGCGAAGTTGCTAACGAATATAATGAAGGTAAGCGTCACATCGCTTAGCCATTGTGGCATCTTAACATTTGGTGTTAATATTTGTTAAAACCCAGTTTTCAGAAGTAGGTTGTCCGGTGCACCATATATTAAAGGCTTCCAATTCCGTAACTTAAATCTTTCTAGACTATACCCTCAATGGAATATCAGACACACATAAACGGGGAATAGTGATTGTAAATTATTAGCAGAGACTACCGCCACGCACATTATTGTATTCTCACAAACGATGATGGTACCACATAAACTGGTAATCGTTATTTTATGATCTGTTTCATAACATTATGATAACTGCTTGCTTATTTAATTTCTTCTTCTTAATTAAGTAAGCACTGATGAAGATGCCGCAGTGGTCGAAACTTCAGATGACGATGATGTCACCATGTTAGAAGGCACCACTGGAGATAAGAGAGAGGGTAGGTATTATAGCATATATCTGATCTGATGTTTATTTTGACATCTTGCTTTAGTTAACAATAAGGCACATGTCATTCATCTTTCAATCAATTTCAGAGTTTTATTATGAGTAGAACAAACTTAAAATTGTACATATATTAAACACGGATAGAGAGATTTAATATAGTCTTTATCTGAATAACTATTGAATATAAATAGTGGTAGGAATTTAAATTTTCATTTTTCCTCTATAATTGATTATTTATACAGTAGCACTTTTAGAAAATTTCGCACCACATAATAATTTAACAATCTGAACCTGGATGTGAGTTTTGAATAGACAAATTTATCAATGATATCCATATTCGGTAATATGCAATATTGTTGTTTTACTCAATAGCGACACAGAACACAGTTAACGCTTCAAAATGTTTGATTGCTTAAACAGAAATGATCGAAATTATCGCCGTATTCAAAACACAAAATGTAAAGTGAGCAAGCGAAATAGCCAAGACGAACACTACGTATTTTTTTTACAGGCACAAATAAAATTGTTAAAGAAGTTTCATGTAATTTCTCAGTCTTCCTCCAAACCGTCCACCGGGTATTACCCAAGTATTCTAACACACAGATTCACTGTCCATTTTTAGATACACCAATAATGTAACAAATCTAAACATAGCCTCACCGTTCATACTACCGGACTTATATCTGTATTTTATTACTCATTCCCGGGCTCATTCTTACGGGCTCCAAATACTTACCTCAACACGGTGTTTACGGACGGTTTACTTGACAAGTTCTTCGATGCCATTCATTCAATGGGTAGATTTTGATCGCACGTCGAACAAGTCATATCTCAGGGGATCTGTTGTAACTCAATAATTAACGCACCAAGTCACTCTACACAAATGGCGTATCGATTTTAAGTGTTCACGCCACTTTTGGCGACAAACCATCACTTTTATGCAGTTGTTCTGTTTCGTCGTATTTAATAATTTCGTTCGATAATTTGTGCGGAATTTGTTGTAAACTAAAACTTAGTTTAACCATTGGTTTACACATGCTTCTAAGAATCCTATTATAAGTATTTCAACCATAGAAAACAAACATATATAAAAAATAGTATATGAAACCAATATAGTTTATTTTGAAGGATAACACAATATTAAAAACGTATACATTCTTTGTGGCGTGAATAATTGTACATTTTATTTTCAGAGCTCGTGACCCTGACTGTAAAAACTCATTCTTCAAATCGTAACACCACTTCTAACATGTACGTAGATGTGGATGCAGGCAAGTTTTACCAGTTGAATATTATTCTTAATATGTTATTACTCTTGTGCCTAATGCCAGCTAAATGTTATTCATATCTAAAATTATTGAAAAAAAACAGAACGAGAGAGTTTCTATATTGCCACCAGGTGTGCTATATTATTGTAATAAATACAGTAAAATACTAGTTTATCAAAATTAGAAACAAATTATATATTTACACACATGTATATATCACTTTAGATCAACAGACAGTTTACAATACCTGTATCCAACTTACAAACTTATTAAAACATGCATTTGCGACAAAGAGAAGGAATAGTTCATAATGTATTTTGAAGAATGATGCAAAATAGAACTGCTATATTACGCGTTCGTCAATATTTTCCAAATCACGGGAATTTTAAAAAACATGCCTCTTTAAGTTTTGTTTTTTGAGAGTTTCCACTAAATAAAGGGGTCGTTCTCATAGCATGTCATTTATTTCAACATGCATAATCATTCTGCCTAGATGCCACAAAAGATAAATTAATTTATTTTGAAATTGCAAGAATACTTCATTGCTATCTGAACAGAAACAATATTATTCATAACAAGTTTTGACAGGGTAATCTGTTATATACGCTCTAATAGGAAGTAATTATCTAAATGGGCTTAATTATAAAATAAAAACCATTCATTCCATGGATTCGATTCTTAGACCCTGTGACTCTTCATGACAGAATGCCATGCAAATCTAAATAGACGATCCTTGTTTAATTTTTAATGATATGACTCAAGCCATTAACACAATTGACGTTTCCACGCTTCGCAATGAATACATACCATATCAGGGTGCTCTGCTTTCAGCTTGGGATCATAATATGTAGATTTCGACATCACGGATGCTACTCAAACATGAACCCCCTTGTACTGATTATGACACAAACAAAACATATACGAAGACACAAAAGTCCCGTAAACAATTAACTTTCTGTGAACCATCAGTGCTATTATTATACACGGGTTAAGGAGAGGTTGGAAGTGTAAATCATATCGTTGTGTTTCTATTTGCATACAGATAAGAAGAACAAAGCCTGGAGACTGACTGGCACTACTCTCATCATATGTGCATTATTCATTACTATTGTGATGTAATGCATACTAAGGAACTGTTACTTCAATGTATGAAATTACAGAAATAATCAATTTGGCAAACTAATAATTATAATTGTCATTTTATATAAAGAAAAATAGAATTTATTTATGTTATTTCTATAAAATTTCAATTATGTTCGATTAGATTCTTCGCCAGTTCGTTAATATGATATTGACATTTACTTTTATGACTTGCTTTGTTAAAGAATAATAATAATGTAGTATCCGGGTTAATTAAGGCAATATGCAAACACATCATAATACAACTGTTTCAAAGGTGTTACTTATATGAAGGATCAATGTACTGTCTTTGACAGAGATCGCAATTTGAAAGTTAAAGTGTTACAATGTCTCCTCGCATAACAATACATTTTCTGATTAACATTACCAGTGACACATATAATGCGTACACGTGTATGGAATAATGCCAGTATTGTATTTTTATCAGGATTGTTGATGACAGTTGCGATGTTTGTCTATGGCGGTACTTGTAACTGATGAATACATCTAAATAAATGCGTATGTCTGTGTTTTATCATTCTCGCTTATTGGTATAATTAATTCGATCCGTTTGAAATAAAACGCTTAAGAGGCTTGTATTACAATTATTGTGTGTGTGTTTTTTTTTATTTTAGCTACACTGTGTGAAGCATGAAATGATACTACAGGATATTTTTTTTTATTTACTTACAATCAATTAAATTAATACAAAAATAGAATTGAAAAGCAAAGTAAGTTACATCAACAATTAAACATTTACACACATATAACAAAACACCAAGTATGAAAGTCGTAATAAAACAAAACAATCAGGACCTTGGTCGTCCAAATAGCTAGTCAGCGGGCCCCATTTCAAAATAAAAATTTGTTCGCGTAAGATTTCTTTCTCAACGTTCATTTTCATCTTTACATTTCTGATAAAATTTGTTAAATGAGTTAAATTTGTATAGCCACTCGTATATAACACGTACTAGTATTTTCCTATTGAAATGAGGTAATTTGAACAGGACATTTTAACAGTAGATGTGAAAAAGTCTTGAGGCGAAATTTCTAATTTGGCTGAAAAATGAAATTCGTTCTGTGTGTGCGTGTCTGCTGACAGTGGTAATTCGCGTTGCCATAGTGATGAGCTCCAATATCGTACGTGTTCATATGTTGATAATTTGTTAGTATCTATATACAACCTGATAAGGGTAAACATTGCCACCAAGCAAAATGTGATCACGGTAGACTGCTGAATCAATGTTTACTTGAAGTCAACGTATTTGATCATGAGGAAGTATACCGGAGTTAACCGAAGGCTATTAGATAATATTTTGACAGAATGAAACATTTTACGGAAACTACTACTGTACAAGTAGTTTCATACCGTTTCACCAATATCACATAACATTACTGCATCAATTTTGATAGATTTACTGTTTTGTTTTGTTTCAAAAATATTTACCATTAATACATATTTATCAATGCAATTGATTGAAAAACGATACTTATATACTCACTATTGACTATAGTTGATTATTTGTTTCATATTTTTGGGCATTGATATCATATAAAGAGTTCTTGGTAGGTCAGGACTTTTGAATCCTGAAAACCATTATTGCGCATTAAAATGCTTCACACAATTGCTTCTCATATATCCAAGCAATGTTACAAACAACACATCTGACGATTTGTGTAAAATTGACAAAATGAAACAAATACTGTATTGATAGATTCTGATTGCAATGAAACACATATCACATAGAATAACATCCTGATACAATCGGTTCTCCACTTTGCTAGACTTTTTATACAGTGTGTGAAAAGCTGCTAAGAAAGTCTGTATTGCTATGTGGCTAGCCAGCTATGTTATATGCAAAGTTGGTAAAGTTACATAGAAAGTATACAAACTTGCGTGCAAAGTTAGTCAAATGACTTAGTCCAGCAAAGTTGCGTGCGACAGTTGTCCATCTGTAAATTGGCATGCAAAATTGTTAAAGTTACGTGAAAAGCCGGCAAAGTGGCAAGCAAAGTTAGTACAATTACGTGGAAAGCTACATGGTTCCGTGCGAAGTTGATAAAGTTGCGTGAAAAGTCCACATTGAAACATGGCTAGCAAGCAATATTGTTTACAAACATTGTAAAGTTACATGGCAAATTTCCGTATGACATTATTAAATTTACGTTTAAAATCTACAAAATGTTGTGCAAAGTTAGTCCAAGCCTACAATATTATGTGCAACGTTATTCGAATTGCGTGGAAGGCCGGCAAAAGTGCATGCCACGTTCATCAAGATAGCTGGAAAGCCGGCAAAAGTGCATGCCACGTTCATCAAGATAGCTGGAAAGCCTACAAAGTTGTGTGTAAAAGTTGTTAAAGTTGCTCGGAAATTTCGTATTGCTAGGTGGCGAGTCGGCAAGTTGGCGTGCGACGTTGGAAAACTTACGTGCAAATTTAGTCAAATTACGTGGAATACCAGCAAAGTTGCATACGACCTTTGCCAAGTTAGGAGTAAAGCCTGTAAAGTTGCGAGCAAAATTGGTAAAAGTGGTTGGAAAGTTGTGCGCAAAAATAAAATGAAAGTTGGTACAATCACGTTGCAAAATACAAAAAAAATGCAAA